TGGAACATGACATTGGTGTCATTGAAAAGCACAAAATTATTTATATTGCCAATAAGTAACAATGGATTTTTAGAGGATAGTAATTTTAATATAGAAAAAGAAAACATGGAAAACATACAAATGAAACTAAGTTTTTCAAAGAGGAAAAGGCTATGAAGAGAATAAAAATAGTCTACCAAAATGTGTAGGCAATGTTTAAAAATTAATGGGATTTTTTCTTACACAAGAAAACATTTTTTTATCAATTTCAGGATTTTCATGTATAAACTAAGATTTAATGTTATCGGTTCCAGTTCTTTAGTGTATTATTATTATGTACTTGTTTCCCATAACCATTAATTTCTGAGCCCTGAAAAATAAACTCAGCACTCAGAACTTTACATTTTTCTACACTACATGATTCAAGGAACACCACATTAAACTCTGTTAAGTATTTTGAATTGGAAATAGTGGCATATCCTTTCTTACTACACTAAAGTGTTTTCTGCATATTGTTTCAGAGTTCCACAAACTTAACAGCATATATTCTCTGGTAGCTCTGTCATTTGCAGCTATTCCCAACTATAAATATTTTCGATATCCAAAGTGCATACTGCAAAGCTTATATTTGGAGGAAGAAATATTAAGAAGATAACATAAAATCAAGGAGACAACTTATAGAATGCATCATTAAAGAGAACCGCCTCCTTCCTAACATCCAACTTTGAAAAACTTTACTCCTCCAGAGAGTGGAGGGAGGTGGCGGGGGAGGGGGGGATAAGTAATAAACAGACAAGCAAACGAAAAACAACTTTGCTACTCTAGGTGCTTTATTCTATAATTCACTTTATGTATTTAATTAAAATGGGATGTTACTTTTTCTTTTTGGTCCTTCCAATCTACGAACATGGGATGTATTTCCATTTATTTTTGTCTTCTTTGATATTTCTCAGCAATGTTTTGAAATTTTCATTGTACAAGCCTTTCATCTACTGGTTAAGTTAATTTCTAAGTATATTTGATGCTATTCTAAAGAGAGTTGTTTTGTGATTTTCAGACTGTTCATTGTTAGTGTATAGAAATGCAACTGGATTTTTAAATTGACTTTAGAGAGGGAGGAAGGGAGGGAGGGAGGGAGGGAGAGGAGCATCGATGTGAGAAACATCGATTAGTTGCCTTCCACACAGTCCCCAAGTGGAGATGGAACCCACAACCTGGTATGTGCCCTGATTGGAAATTGAACCTGCCACATCTGGTGTAAGGATGACACCCCAACCAACTGAGCCATATCGGCCAGGGCAAAGTGCAGGTGATTTTTGTGTGTTGACTTTGTATCCTGCTACTTTGTTGAATTTATATTCTTCCTTCCTTTCCTTTTCTTTCTTTCTTTCTTTCTTTCTTTCTTTCTTTCTTTCTTTCTTTCTTTCTTTCTTTCTTTCTCTCTTTCTCTCTTTCTCTCTTTCTTTTCTTTCTTTTCTTTCTTTTCTTTCTCTCTCTCTCTCTCTCTCTCTCTCTCTCTTTCTTTCTTTCTTTCTCTTTTTTTGTTTTGTTAATCTATTGATTTTTAGAGAGTGGAAGGGAGGGGGAGAATAAGAGAGAAAGAAACTTTGATTGGTTGCCTCCAGCATGCACCCCAACCAGGGCCCAGATCTAACCTGCAACCCAAGTACATGCCCTTGACCAGGAATCAAACCCAGGACCCTTCAATGATGTGCAGGCCAATGCTCTAACCATTGAGCAAACTGGCCAGGGCTCATGCATTATTTCTAACAGAATTTTGTGAAATCTTTAGAGTTTTCTACATATAAGATCATATAATGAGCAAATAGATAATTTTACTTCCTCCTTTCTCATTTGGATGCCTTTTATTTATTTTTTTTCTTGACTAACTGCTCTGGCTAGAGCTTGCAGTACTATGTTGAATAGAAGTGGTGAAAGCAGGCTTTCTTGTCCTGTTCCTGATCTTAGAGGAAAAGCTGTCAGTCTTTCCCCATTGTGTATAATGTTTGCTGTGGGTTTTTAATATATGAATTTTGTTATGTTAATTTCTTCTATTCCTAGTTGTGTGTGTGTGTGTGTGTGTGTGTGGTTGTGTGTGTGTTTTATGATGAAAGTGTGTTGTACACATCAATTTTTAAACTAAGAAATATCTTTCACCTGAATGATCAAAGCATTCTCTCCCAGTTATCAAGCTATGTGGAGAGACAAATCAAAACCAAAAGGGTACCATGGTTCCATGACTAGAACCATGTAAACAAAAAAGAAATTTAGACTATAAAAATTTCTACAGCTAACATTCATCATTCAACAAATACTGTCTACTGCTTGCCAGGAACTATTCTGACTGTTGGACAGAAAAATGAAATAGGTGTGTTGGAAGACAGAAATAATCACACAAATACATTTATAATTATATATTGAAATTAGTGAGTTGAAAGAAAAAGTAGTAAGCTATACAAGAGAATATCAAGGTATTCTTAAATCAGATTTTATAGATAAGGGGTTGCCTTTCTAAGAATGCCTTTCTGAGATCTGACATTTCAAAACAGACTAAAGAATTAGTAGAAGTTTGGAGAGATGGGGAAGCGAAGAGTTGTGGAGGGAAAAGAATTCCAAGCAGAAAGAATAAAGTGTCTGAAGTATCTAAGGCTGGAAACCCTCGGTCCATAGGAGGAAGGCAGCACTGGGGTGGGATTGTACTTAGACAGTTACAAGCTGAAGAAGAGGGAAGCAGGGGGCATTGACCTGTTTTAAGCAGAAAGGTGGCCTGATGCAATCAATATTTTTAAGCACTCACTTGCTACGTAGATTGAAGTGAAAGAATGAATGCATGGGGAAGGCTAATTAGGAGACTATCATAATCTTCAAAGTGAAAAAGTGAGTGGCATAGACCAAGACTGTGGTAGTGAAGACAAAAGCAGCTGTTGGCTTTAAAAAATAAAAATGTAATTGGTGAGAGATTGAAAAGAGAAAAGGGAGGTTTCAAGGATGACAGCTAAGTTTCTGATTTGAGCAAGTGGGCAATGGAAGTCCCATTTTTGAGTTGGAGGAATCTAAAGGAATTGCAGATTGGGAGAGGTTACAGTGAAGAGATCAAGAACACAATTATAGCCCTAACTGGTTTGGCTCAGTGGATAGAGCGTCGGCCTGCAGACTGAAAGGTCCAAGGTTCGATTCTGGTCAAGGGCATGTACCTTGGTTGCGGTCACATCCCCAGTAGGAGGTGTGCAGGACACAGCTGATAGATGTTTCTCTCTCATCAATGTTTCTAACTCACTCTCTCCTTTCCACTCTGTAAAAAATCAATTAAAATATATATAAAGAACACAATTATAGACATGTTTATGACAATCTTGTGATATCTAATTGGAAATTTAGAAAGATGATAGATAGATAGATAGATAGATAGATAGATAGATAGATAGATGATAGATTCAGTCAGAAAAGAGATCTAGGTAGGACAACGAATCTGGGAATTCAACAGCATGAATGAGATCATCTTGGGACACATATTGAGTGAGAAGACAATGTATGAGGTCTCAGCAAATCTTTCACTTAGAAGTCAGATAGGGGAGCAGAAAGGATCAAGTAGATGAAAAAATGAGTGTCCTGCTTGACCAGCATGGCTCAGTGGTTGACCGTCAACCTGTAAACCAGGAAGTCATGGTTCGATTCCTGGTCAGAACATATGTCCGGGTTGTGGGCTCGATTCCCAGTGTGGGGCATGCAGGAGGCTTCTTTTATAGAGTCAGTCTCTCTCCCTTTCTCTTTGAAATCAATACAAAATATTTTTTTTTAAAAAACAAAAAACAGTGTCTTAAGAGGTCAGAAGAAAACCAAGAAGCCAAGAAATGTCAAGAAAGGAACACCCTTTCCCTAAAGTAGAACCTTGACAATGGGAAAGCAACTCTCAACACCCTGGCTTAGCCTTCTTTTCCCCAGCTCTGAGCAGGCTACAGGTCAACATCTACATTGACTCCCCTGCTCCTGTTTTTATTTGCAGTCAAAACTCTTCTGTTGTAATTCTTTTTCTCTCTCTAGATATGTTTATACCATTGGCCAATGTCACGATTTTAGCACGAGACTTAATATGCCTGTTAATACAGCCCACATGAACATAATTTGACCACCAAAGTGAAAGGAACTTTTCAACAGCTGAAGGAAAATTTTCAGTAAAGAGGCTAATGCTGGTTAATATCATAATTAGCTCTTAAGAGGGCAATCATTTTCTAGTTCTTAGTAACCTCCAGAAGGTGAGTTATTCATAAACGCTGGTTACTACAAGTAGGAGACAAACATAGATAAGGGACAAAAAGAGCAAGATCCTTTTTTCTGGAGGGTTTGTTTCTTCCTGCTGAAATGTGCCATGGTGAAAAAAATCAGCAGATTTGACTCTGATAGTAAGTTACGTGACCTTTGGGAAATCACTTAGTGTCCTTCAACCTTAGTTTCACCTGTAAAACAAGGAAACTGACCTAGATTTTGTCCAACCCTCCCTGCTATTCTAATGGTCTATCACTATAAAACTATGACTATTTTCAACTTAGTTTAAGCAAAAGTTTGGTCTCCAAACTGATCAGAATGCAGATAAGCACTAGGATCCAGAGCCAACAATGTACACCAACCCTCATCAGACCAACCCGCCATTTGACATACTAGAAAGAATGTTAAATAGAGCAAAAACCGTCAGTGTGGAGTTCTTTTTAGATGAAAACTTTCTTAATCATAGTCATTTGAGGTTTTTGACCATGGAGCGTTCTTCACTCTATGGAGTTTAAATAGATGTTCTCTTTAGGAAACTAGTGCTGAAAGGAAAAAAAAAAAAGGAGGAGAGAACAGGAGAGAAGGAAGTTGAGAGGGACAGGAGGAAATTTTAAAAAGAAATTGGATGTCTTTTAGGTGGAAAGAGTGGTTCTAATTATAGAAGAACAATCTCTCTGGATGTGCCACAGCCTCTACGCTCTTAGAAAATACCTGTGATTAAAAAAAGAAAAAAAGAAATTCGTAATAAGAAATTGATTCATTCACTGCAGAATGAGGTCAGAGGTGGCAGCATTTATTCTTCACACATAATGTGCTTGATGAAAAAGAACTGAAGCTAGCAAGACTAATGCTAAATATTTCTGAAAACAATATATTGTTTTACAGGATTGACGTAAAAGGCCATGCACATATTCATTTTAAACTGCACATGCAGAAATGGCTTTTAGATGCAGATATTTTTATTCTAAAGGATGCTGCTTCTATAGGAAGTAAGTCTGGGCAGTGACATATTTTTTGACTGCCTTAATTTAGGCACTCACATGCGTTTCGTCTATGGAACAAGTATATACACTGATATAAATGATGCTGCTGATGTGGAAAGCATCTGTGGAATTTTTGGAATAAAAGTATCCACCCCACCCCTGAACCTCTGCCACCAAGTTCTCCATTCCCGAGACTGCCAGTGTTATCAATTTTTATTACCTTTCAGAAATATTTTATAAAAGTAATGAACATATTTGTTCTCAAAAAATATACATAATTATATATACTATAATTGTCTCACTTCTTAAAAACTCAAATGAGAGCATGCAATAACACTTGCCCTTTTCCATGAATAATGCTGTGGAGCATTTTTTATCATACATAATGTTCTTCATTCTTTTTTGTGGATGCATAGTATTAAGTTGCACAAATATTTTACCAGTGCCCTATCGATGGACATTAAGTTACTTCATTTAAGTTGTTTTCATTATTTGCTATAAAAGCAATGACACAGTGACTCTGAACATTCATCATTTCATACATTTGGTTATATTTGTAGGAAATCATTCCCAGGAGAAAAATAACTAGGTCAGAAGATATGTGCATTTGTACTTTTATTCGAAACTATGTTTTTACTCTCTCTCTCTCTCTCTCTCTCTGTCTCTGTGTGTGTGTGTGTGTGTGTGTGTGTGTGTGGTATTGGCGATATATATACATAGTTTAAATTCATAATGTGCTCAAAGGTGAATAAGAGGAAGTAAGTCTCCCTCATGCTCCTTTCCTACAGCCACTGAATCCCCCTCTCCAGAAGCAACCACTGTGACTGGATTCTTGTGTATCTTTTCAAGCAATATAACATGCATGTGTGTATATGTAATATAAAAATAATGATAGATATATCTACTGGAGAATTACTTCAATGTAACAGATACACGGTTTTCTTCTGTCACAGCCTATGGGGATCAGATGACTCTTGCCAAGAGAGGCATCATTGATCAGTGTAAGCATTCATATAAGGAATCACTTTACTTTCTCACCATTATCATACACACACCATCAATATTGTGGATTCCATCAAGAGAGCAATAGTTTTATTGACTTTCACTATGCTTATGTGTTCATTCTGGATAAAAGAGAGAACATGGAGATGGGGCCTTGTCCTGTCCTAGGCCACACCATGTTGAATTTTCCAGTCTGGATTCATTGTAACCATCTGAGATGTCTCCACCTTCCTGTGCCATCTGGTGTGTCTACTGCTCCCTGTGTTTTGTGCTTTCCTCTCTCTTGTCTTTTCCAACACTGAACGGATATACATTAACTTTAGAACACAGGTCACACTCAGAGAACTCCCTTGTGTGTTAGGTGCCATTGAGTCAGCTCTGAATGAGTGCTGTCACTATGAGTGACATTCCAATGAATGAGTGATGTCCACAGTGTCCTGTCCTCACCAGCCCTGCTCAGCCCCTGTAAACGCATGCCTCTGGCTTCTTTTATAGAGTCAGTCCGTCTCATGTTTTGTCTTTCCCATTCCCTGCTGCATTCTGTGTTCCACAGCATTATTGTCTTTTCCAAAGAACCGGGCCTTCTCATGATGTACTCGAAGTAGGATAACTTCGGTCTTGTCATTTTGGCCTCCAGCAATGTTGCAAACTTAATTTGCTCTAGAACCCACTTATTTGTCTTTCTGGTGGTTCAGGGTATCACTAAAGCTCTCCTACAACATACTTCAAATGAACCAATATTTTTCCTATAGGCCTTCTTCACTGTCCAACTTTTGCCTCCATACAAAGTAATTGGGAATACAAGGGTTGGATGATCTTAGTCTTGTCTCTAATGACATCTCTTTGCTCTTGGTGATATTTTCTCATTCTTCCATTAACCTCCCTTAACTCTACTCATTTCCATCTTTTCTGTGCAAACTGTACCCTCCTGGCCCGAGTTCTTCTCTTTCATAGTATCTTGCTAAGAACAACAAAGAGTAGCCAACCCACCATAATAGCTGGAGTTTTTCCAAGCAATTCTCCCCAAAGGTATAAACAGGAATGTGGTTTCTTTTTCTGTGACAGTACAAGTGACAATTTTATCAAATACTTTGCCATGGAATAACCGGGATCAACAGCTTTCCAGACGGCCCACGGATCTTTGCTGTCATCTACATGCCACCCTATTCAATGACTATTAAGAGAAATTGGATCTTTCCAAGTCCCAGAGAGCCTGTTAAGTCTTACCTTCCATAGGATTCTGTTCCAATGGTGTGGCTACGTATCATCTAAGTAGACCTAAGAGCCAGAGGTTGCTCTTACATGCACAAGGCCCCCTATTCACCAGAAGGGTTCATCAAGACCAAGTTAACTATCCAATCCAAAGTTTCTTCTAAGCAAGCAACACAATGAAACTGAGGGGCCCAGCTGCTGTCCACTTTCCGTTCTCTTCCCGGCCTTTCTGAGGCCAACACAGAGGACAAACCTTCCTCTTGTGCAATTCCCACACATGAGCTCTGCTGTTTTGGACTAACACAAGTTCCTTTTATCTTTATTGGCTTTCAGGAGACAGTAGAATTTTCTTCTGGATAAGCTCTATGGTTCAGCACAGCCAGCAGGCTTAGGCTTCAGGCCCGGAGCACCCTGGAGGCCACATGTGGTTTCATCTGGACAAACACTTTAAAATAAATTCCCTGGCTTTTCCACAGAATCATTGAGATGACAGGCAGCTGCCACCCACGTAGTAAGATGATGACTAGCAGGAACATGAGAGCCATATAGGGTATGGGTGATATAAACAGTGCGATTGGCAAGTAAAGCTTCAAATTGTAATGTTATCTTGGAATTTGGGTCACCATCTTTTCATATCATTAAACTGCTATCAGTTCTTCTGTAATGCACCCAAAGCTTTTTTTTTCTTAAATCCCTTGACACACCCTAAAAGACACACAGTAATAAAACCTAAAAGACTCTTGTTTCTTCTAAATATATTTTATACCATAAAAAGTAAAATAAAGAATGTGCCAAGATTCTAAGTTTTCACATTTTTAATTATTTCAGCATAAGCCAAACAAGTTGATGACAATTGACCCTTATGTTGTTTAAAATTAAATAAAATGGAAAATTCTCAAAAAGGAAAAATATAAACCAGAGCCTTAACCAGAATAATCCTCCTTGTGAAAGATGCATTAGCTTATCATTGTTATAGTTATAGAACTATCTCATAAGTTTATTTTATGTAATCATCTGGTATTAATTCATCATATGATATTTGGGTTTTTTTGAGAACTCAGGTATTTTTCATGGAAATGGAATGAAATTATAGTGAGTGTTCAGATTGACATTATTATGAACAGTTAATAAACACATTGAGACTACTGTTCTTAAAATAGATTTTTAAACTACTTAAAACTTTTAGATTCTTTTTAATAGTTCCATCAGAATTCACATGTTCTATGTTCCTTATTCAAGTGTTTAAGAAAAACTAATTCAAAAATTATTATATTTGCTAACCAATATTTTTCTGGGTATCTTATGTAGTATGATTCTTGCCTACATTGAACGTCTGCTTTTCTATTGCATGTTCTTGAGATCATATTCATCTTATCTTTCTCACATACCCATATATCATTAAGTCTAAGATGCCATCATAGTAAGATGTATCACTATCTTATGTACCACTAAGAAGGAAAAAAAATGAACAAATTGTCATAGTGCTTTCTTATCACTAATAATTTTTATTTTAGATTTCTTTTTGACTTAGTTATAAACTTCTCATGTATTCCTATGTGACATAAAAAGATGAAGGTTAAGGTAATCTTAAAATGTCTTTACATTCAGAGCTGGATTCATCTTTATCACTTTTCTATGCAGAATCATCATTGTCCATATCTTACCA